GTAGTCTAAGAACTTGGTAGTTAGGAAAGGAAACACTCTAATATCTGATTGTTTGTCTTTTGGATTTGGTTTTGCTTTTAGCCTGGAGAATGCAAAATTGGTATCATGCCCGGTCACATTCACAAGAAAGGAAGAATTGGTAAGATCTCAGACCGGCCTGTTGCATTTGTTTTTGAAACTGCAACCGTGTTTATTCCGTAGTTGTGTTTTCGCTATGTCTTTTACTGAGCATCCTAGTGTAAAATGCACATTCATGAAATGATGCCTTCCCGTTCGGAAGACGTGTTTCTGTCTATGCAATTGGCCATCCCAGGTATATTGAATTAGACCCATGGATCCTAACTTAATTCAGCAGCTCCAGGGTGGGAATGATAAGAATGTGATGGCGGGGGGGGGGGATACTGGGATATGGGGAGTGTCCGGTCCTTTTAAAATTGTGCATTTTGTAACGGCAGCAGCATAGAACACGTCTAGGCAAATAGGAAGGTTAGTGTTCTCAGTAAGCCCCAAATAAATCTAGTCTCAGCAACTTTTGGTAGCAGTACCTTTATCTGTCTTCCTGCAGCAAAGGCAGATGCCTTTGCAGAACTCAGGCGCTGCTCTACTTAGGCCAGCATGCCAGACTCCATTCACTGAATTGGTCACTATCAAAGTGGATTGCCACTTTCTCAGTAGCCCTACAATTACCAAAGGCAAAGGAAAAAGGAGAGACAGAAATGAAAGGGGGGAATTTTTTGCAGAGAGCTTTCAAAGTAGCACACAGGCCACATCCTAGCAAGCTCACACTTGACTTGAGTGGACCTGGATGTGCTGTTGGTATTGTGGAGCTCCTTCTGGAGACTTATTTATTTAGTGTCCTTTATAGGTCACCTTGCCTCCAATAAGGGAATGCAAGGTGGTTCTGTGACAGATGCTGGTCTTTTACTATGAAATGAGTGAACAATAGCATGTTCGCAAAAAAACAAAGTATGCTGCTTCTAAACCACCCCATAGCACTTAAACTACTCTGGGCGGTTTGCCATTTAATTAGGCAGGTACACATTCAGCCCATCCCATCCTTACAAGCTGTGTACTCAGTTTACTGACCTTGGAAGGATGGACGGCTAAGTGAACCACCAGCCAGCTATCCTGGATGGCACCTGGGAGAGTAGAGTTTTGGCTGCAGTATTGCAGTGTAACCACTGCACCGCCAGGCTCCTTGTGGAAAGCTCTTCTGTTTTTCTCCTGGCTGTCTTCTCTTCGCTTTCACAATGAAGACATTATCCTGCATTTCCTGTGGTTTACAATTTAGAAGCTGTAGCCAATGAGAAAACGTTGCCTGCCAAGGTGCTGCTTGCAGCTGACCTGGGAACAATAAGAGTTCAGTAGTGCCGAATTTTGTTCTAATGGGTCTGTTGTGTCTCGGACTACAAGTGTAATACCAACTCCCTCCAGTCGTACACTGTGTTTTAGGGATCCCTATTGTAACAAGTTTGAATGCAATGGCTTTGTGTAATGTCCTGGTTTCATTCCTTTATATGAAGCAATACACGCTAATGCTAGTTCGTCGCTTTTCGTTGCTTCTTCTGTGATCATCATTTTTGGCTCTTGCTCTTCAGGTATTGTATCAAGATCCGGAACTCTGACATACGAAGCTGTTCATCAGACAACTCAAGTCGGACTGGGACAATCCGTCTGTGTTGGTAAGTTTAAGGGAGGCTCAATTCATGAGTAAGGCAGCACACAAGATTGTGGAAAGTGTGTGTTGCACTCTAGCTCTTTTCCCCTTCTGCCTTAAAGTCATATTTGAAGTAGTGCTGAAATCTTGTGCTTTCTTGCTGCCATTGCTATAAAGATTGCTCACACCACGGGGTGTTCCGGTGAAGGTGGTGTGTGTGAAAAGAATGAATTATGAGATATGATTGCACTTCCAAAAACTTCTGGGTGATTTGTTAACTCGTAAGGAAAGAGAGAGCAGCAAATGTTGTTTTCTCTCTGAACTGGCTTTAAGAATATGGTGTGTAGCAATGACCTAAGCTGAATCCGAGGGAAGGCAGTGCTTTCTAACCTTACCTTGGTGATTCCAAGAGGTAAACAACAAATAGTAGTCGGTCATATGCTGGCTCTTGCCAGCAGGATGGTAATCATGTGACAGGCTCATGCGGCTTTGCTTCAGTGCCTCCGCTTTTTAATCAGAAGGGTTTTGTTAGAATGCCTGGCTGAGTTCTAGTCTGCCAAGGCTCTTGGAGGCAAATCGCCGTTGTGTTTCTTTTCCTCTGAAGATGATTGCTTGCTGCCACATAGATAGGAGTAGGAAGGAAGGAGATGCCTTTGCTATCTTCCGCTGCTAATGGTATGAAGGAATATGTTAACTGTAGATGTGTTCCTCCCTATTTACGTATTTGCCTCTCTATGTGGTAGGAAATGGCAGGAGGCAGAGACGCTTCAGCGTGCATGCAAAAGCAATCTTGAGCTCAGTACCTTAAAAGCTTAACAAGGCCGTAAGTGTGATTCAGGTGATTCACACACATAAGTGTGTGCTAAAAAAAAAAAAGTTTTGCCATGTATTGTTTGAGATGATGCCATGTTGTGTATTGACCTCAAGTCTGAATAAAAGGCCAGCTGATGGTTGTTGTGGGTTTTTCGGGCTCTTTGGCCGTGTTCTGAAGGTTGTTCTTCTTCAGATGACAGCACTCTGTGCTGTGGTGTACACACTAATCACCCATCTACAGGAAAAGACAAAGGCCTATCTCACAGCCATAAATACTGCACTCCCAAAGCCAACTACACCAGAGCACAGAGTGCTGTCCTCTGAAGATGCCGGCCACAGAGACTGGCGAAACGTTAGGAAGAACAACCTTCAGAACACGGCCAAAGAGCCCGAAAAACCCATAACAATCATTAGATCCCGGCCGTGAAAGTCTTCGCGAATATATTAAAAGGCCAGCTGTTAACTGCACTGACAAAAGCCCTTTGGTTTGGTTTTGGTTGAATTCCAGCAGTGCTTAAGCATTGTGGAATGTCCAAATATATTTTGCACAAGCTGTCAGATCTGGAGCACTTTTTTTGTAACATACATACCAGTTGTTAGGGAACAACAGCTTGAGAGGTCTTTTTCCCAGAAATTCCTGGTTGACAGGGTGTTGGATCAGATGGGTCAGGAATCTGAGCACGCGTGTCTCTTCTCATGCCTTTTGCCTGGGGGTAGGAAAGGAATTTAATGTATAGAAAGAGGACGAAGGAATTCTTCCTGGATTAAACCTCCAGAACAGTAACCCAACTTTTCGAGTTCTGATCTATTAAGTGTAAGTAGTTTAATGTGTACAGATTTCCTGAGCACCTCCTTGAGAGACCCACTACAGATAAGGAGGGGGGCTAAAATTGCTGCAAATTCACAAATTGTGGAAGTATAGGTCCCTTTAAGGAAAAAGGCAGGATAGAAATATTTTAAATTAATCAAATAAACATAGCCAACCAAAGCTTTGCAGTGGCACCTGGCTGGCAGTGTTTTGTTAGCATTCCTGGTGTTCAAGGGAATTGTTGAAAAGTTTCTTTGCACAAAACATGTGGGGTTGAATTCAATATTAGTCTTCTCTACTTCTCTACCTGGTGAAGTCAATGTGAACTACAGTAGGACTGTGATGCTCATGAGGGATAGGTTCCAACGCCACCCACCCCTGCCAGTGCTGGAAATAGTGAATAAGCAAAGCACTTTCATCTAGTTTGTTTAGTATCTGTACATATATCTATAGCACACTCTCTGATTCCATCTAGTCACCAGTCCTGATATTACATCTTGGGAATATGTATTTCTGGGTTTTGTTCATCTTACGTTTTTTCACATGATAAGTGAAACCAGAGGTACTGATCCTTTGGATACAGTGGGTCCTACTATACATTTGTGCTGACTATGTGTTCAGCAGTTCCCAACCTCACCCGCTCTGGTGGGCACCCACTTAGAGGCAGCACCCAGAGGAGGCGGGGCAGGGAGGCTGGGGCGCTGCCTCTGAGTGGGCAGCTGCTGGAGGAGGCGGGGCCAGGAACTGCCAAACAGCTATTTGCTGAGAAATGAACCAACGTGAACTGCCGAACCAGCATTTCATGCCGATCTCTAATTGAAAGTCAGCAAATCTTTCTGCTGGATTTGATCTCTGAAAGCCCTGTGTTGCTTTTCATGGTCTCCTTTGAATCTCTTTCAGGAATCGGAGGAGACCCGTTCAATGGAACAAATTTTATTGACTGTCTGGATGTCTTCCTGAAGGATCCCCACACGGAAGGGATCATATTGATAGGCGAGATTGGGGGAAATGCTGAAGAGGACGCTGCCGACTTCCTTAAGAAAAACAATTCTGTAAGCTCAGTTTTTCTTTAAAAAAATGGCTGAAATCCTGTTGCATAGCTCTGCCTGGGCAAGAGGAATGACATCAGCTGCAGAGGCACATTGCCAACGATTCCAGGCTTCCGTTGGCAATTTCAGGGGGTACATAACTTTGTCACATTGTTCATGAGTCACATGGACCTGGAAATTACCAAAAGGACCTTTTAACCTGCAGTGATTGGCCGACGCTGCTGATGTCATTCCTGTTGTGCACATAGAGCTGCACAATAGGATTTCAGCCAGTATTTTCTAAATGTGGATTTTCTGTTCTTAGGGAAGAGTGGAGTATTTAGCTCTTTAAAGTCTGGGGGTTCAGATGAAAGGTTACCTTCCAGTCATGCTAGGGCTTTTATGTCCCTCTCTATAAAGTAACCGTTAAAGATGAAGATAAATCCCAAATCATGTTTTCTCTTGTGCCAGCTCATTTAGAAGGGATCCATAGTAGGTGCAGTTGTTTGTAACAAAGTTGACTACACATATCTCAGCAGGAAAGTGGATCAGTGGTGTTTCAAAAGCTAGGTGCAGAGATGTTGTGCCTCGACTACAGACTTGTGGGAGCTACTTTATATTTCAGTTGAACCCAAGGTCCACTAGTTTGCTGGCAAGGAGATGCACAGAATGAAGGCATTTTGGAAAACAAGTTCAGCCCAGGGTTTTATTTTTGCCATGGTTTGTTCTTTTGAAATGGAACTTAACAATCCTTTTCCACAAATGTGGATTCTGTTTCTATAAGCTTGTTTTTCTTTCATATGTTGAATTTTAGGTGCTGGAGGAACTGATTCATTGCCTGGATCAAAACTTTTTTTTTTTTTTGGCCAGCCAGCTACCTTGTTTCGGTATAGCTTATTGGGCTGTTAAGAAAAAGCACCAAAGATTATTATTACCCAGTTCTTTGCTTTAAAGATGTCCACATTTCCTAGGATGTCTTGTGCGGGAGTTGATTTCTGTATCAGAACTACTTACATTTTCCTTAGGTATCAAATCTCCCATATGTGTCACATGAGCATTCTGTTACATACGTATACCCCTTTTTCTGCCTATAATCCTCAGATCAGTGAAATGTTACACTTCCTTTTTGGATGGCAACTTCAAGCATTCCCAGCCAAGATTTTGGCAGCTGTAGTCCAAAAAAGCAACTTTCCCAAGTAATTTAACCAGTTTTAGAGCTTTTATTCTTGGTTAGCTTTGTTAAGGTTATTGGAGAATGTGATTGATTCCTTTTACAGTTTGAAGAGTATCAGGTACAAAAAACAACTATACAGAGGAAGCATGAGAGAATAGCATAAATTTCAGTGGCCCAGTACTTTTCACAGTGACTAGCACTTTGTATGTTAAAAATCATGTTGGAAGCATTTTAAGCAGAAAAGGGTATCTTTACTTACAGTAGCTGTCTTTAGTTACAGTCAACAGAAAAATAGAAAAACAGAATTTCCACATGTGGGTTAGCTGCCTCCATGCTTTCTGCATGTTTGGGAGTTAATAAAGAAGAGAGAGGCTAACAAGCAAAGGAAGTGAAGCAAACAGGAAGTGGAGAGGCAAACCAGAGCTGAGAAAAATAACTTTAACAATAGTTTAGTGGGAAAGGAGAATCCCTTTAGGTCCTAAAAGCCCCCCTCCCACTGATACTCAGTGTTAGAAAGCATACAAGATTCTTATTATCTCAACAAAGGTTAGCTTTTGTTCTTTCTCGCCTTTTAATACTGCTGACTGCATCTGTTAGGGTAAGTGTCATATCTTCCCTTCTCTCTTTTTTCCGCTAATGAAACGAAAACTTTTTTTAAAAAAATCACAGGGTCCAGACTCCAAGCCGGTTGTGTCGTTTATAGCCGGAGTCACCGCTCCTCCAGGCAGAAGGATGGGCCACGCGGGAGCAATCATTGCCGGTGGGAAAGGTGGAGCTAAAGAGAAAATTACTGCCCTTCAAAACGCTGGGGTGACTGTCAGTATGTCTCCTGCTCAGCTGGGATCCACCATGTACAAGGTTGGTCAAGCGGTCATCAAATGCTGGTGAAGACGATAACACTTCTTGTCTCCTGAGTTGATAAACTTGATCTTGATTTCTGGAAAAGGAGATCAGATTTCATCCCTGTCAATAGATTTTTCAAATACGGTGGCTTTCTCGCCTTGATTCTCTCCAGGTAGTTGGAACTGCAACTCCCATCCCACTTGGGAGTGGTAGTTTTAGCACATCTGCAGAGTACCAGATTGGGGATGGGTAATTTAAGTGCACACATATTTGTGGGGCTGAGAGCAATGGGAGCTGGAATCAAATTCTTACTCAGCTTGGAATGTTGTTCCTGTTATTCTCAGCCTCACTCATCTTCAAAGACAGTTGAGGACAAAATGAAATGGTCCCTCCGATTTAATAGTAATATTTATATTTTTATCTGTGGTTTCCTTTCAGGGTTTCATTAGGGGTTTTCCCCCATACAGTTTTTGTGGTTTCACTGTCCAGTGGTGTTGAGAAACTCATCAAGTAGCCTAGGGATTTAAAAACATTCTGTGTCATAAATAAAAGCGGTTTGTCAAAAGCTGCGGACGTCCTGCAGGATGTCCTCATTCTAAAGGTGCCAGTCAAGCGTCCTGCAGGCAAGGTTCTTGGCCCTCCTCTCTCTGACCGCGGAGCAGTGCGCAAGGGATGTTCCCACTTTCGTTTTCCCAACTAAATCTCACGGTGACCTCAGAAACCAATCCAATGTTGTTGTCAAGGAAGGACAGAAGGAGACCCGGGGCACAAGGAAGAACATGGGGAGAGAAGCAGAAATATCCAGTTGAGAGAAGAGGCTGATAAATCAGAAGAGGCTGATAAATAATAAACCATTGCAATAAAACCATCTTTCTTTTTTAATCCCTCCAGGAGTTTGAGAAGAGGAAAATGCTGTGAGAAGAGGAGGAGGAGGAGGTAGGGGGCTTGCCATCGTATCAGCACAACCCTCGCCTCCCTTTCTGCTCTGTGCTTTTCAGGCACACATTTTTCGTTGAAAACATCAACTGACACCCGTCCTAAGAATCCAGCTATAAAGCCACACGGTTTGATTTTCAGTGGCTCTTTTGTTCAGACATGATTGTGCATCGTAGCAGACAAATAAATCTACTACTAAACTTGATGATTTTACGCCCTGAAACTCAGAACCTTTCATTTTTCTTCAGTCATTCTGAGGCAGGGGGGAATTAAAGCTCAGTATTTAAAATAGTTGAAAGCTTTAAGAATACATATCTAAAGTAACATTGTCCCCCCTCCATTTGATGTATAAAGTTGGAACCATTCACAAAAGAGACATCCAGTCTGCGCAGAAATGTTGTTGAACTCCACAGAGTTTTAGCACTGGTGGTGTTGGCAGCGACGTGCAAGAACGTTCGTCTATGCCAGTGGTTCCCGACTTTTGGTCCCCAGGTGTTCTTGGACTAAAACTCCCTGAAGCCTTTGCCACTAGCTGTGCTGGCTAGGATTCCTGGGAGTTTCAGTCCAGGAACATCTGGGTTACCCAAGATAGGGAACCGCTGATCGACACCACCATTGTATCCTCACCAATTTACTGCCCAGCAAGGCAAGGTTGTTTCGGGATGTAGCATAAGCTTCCTTGGGTTGGGAGAGTGCTTTTAAGTCATACGGTGGCATCCAAGCCATACTGGCATGGCCCCGGTGGGTATCCAGATGGCTATACTAGGATAAACACGGGCAAACAAATTAAGAACAACAAGAAAGCAACCAGCAAACTGATCAAGGCCCCTTTTATAAGGATGTGGAGGGAAAGGATGTTTTGTGTCAGATGTATCAAATGGAATAATTTATTGTGAAGAGGAAGACTGACCTTCCCCTTGACTTTTGAGAAGAAACTATTTCCTGTGTATTCTTGAAGGCTCTCCCCCTTATCACAACAATACACACAACAAAAACACGCTGATCACCATAATCACCCAATCCCCTGAAAAGGACAAAAAGCTGATCCCACAGCTATCAACTATCCAACAAACTGCACCAGAGCACAGACAGAGTACAAGGACTGGCAAAACATTAGGAAGAACAACCTTCAGAACACAGCCAAAGAGCCCGAAAAACCCACAACAATTTCCTATTTGATCCCTGAGAGAAGGAAGGAATTTGAGATCTGGGGTCTTCATGGGGTCGTCCGGGAGCCCAAGTGTTGTGCTCTCCCACTTTTTATTTCTTTTTAACTCAAAAAAAAAATTCCCTTATGGCCTTTAGAGGATGTGATGGTGGTGGCGAATTTTGCCTTGTTTCTCCTCGCCAGTATGTGCATGGTACCCCATCCCCGGCCCCGAAACGTCAGGAGAGATGGAGCCAACTCATTGTGAAATTGGCCTTTCTCTCTAGAGGGGACTTTTCCCCAAAAATATTGGGGGAAGATGTTCAGAAGGGTATGCAGGGTTCAATTTCATGGTGAGTTTGTACAGTCCCTAAATCTCAGGCTGTTGCCAGCTTTTACATTATGGGACTGTACGTATCTAATTTTTCATGGAATTGGTTTTTGATACCTGAAAGATTCTGGGGAGAACCCAGGTGAGATTTCAGCATGAGTGTATTACCGTTCCTTCCGGGACGGCTGCCGATACCATTCACTCGTGGGTGTTATGTTCCCTCAGCTGGTTCCTCCATCACCTGTCTCTTCCTACATCTATCCACTGTTGCAAAATAAAAGTTTCTGCATTTCTATTTTGAAGTCTAGTTTCTAGTTTGCTCCTGTTTATCTGTTACTCTTTATCACGGCGAGTGGGTTTGCCATATGCTGTGTAGGAGATCAGATTGTTTCACAACCTGGAGTTCGTTTTTAAAACATTTCAGTAGAACAGCACTCACTATACTCTCGTTTATTACTTCTCCCACCACCGCCACCAGGAAAGGTTTTATGGGCCTAGATCTAAAGAGAGCAATGCATCGAGTTCTGTGGCTCACTGCAGGTTTGCACGTATTTATTTGAAATAGTTTTACCACACCTTTCTCCTAAAAGAGGACCCAAGGTGGCTTGCAACATTAAACAAACAGAAACAGTGTTAAAAGCTAAAAGCAGCACATTATTCAAAGATTTTAAAAGAATAAGATTATATTTTAAAAGGTTGGGGAAGGGCAGCAAAGAAGGGGCCAGGCTGGCCCTCTTGTGGGAGGGGGTTCCAGAGTCTGGGACCTTCTGTGTACCCATTAAATGCCTCTGTAGGGTGGTAGGATTGAGAGAAAAACCTCTACTGAGGTTCTTAAGACCAAGCAGGCTCATAAAAGGAGACTTGATAAAGCCGTTTATGACTTTATACATTAGAATCAACATTTTGAATTGTGCCTGGAAATGGATTGGCGGCTGCAGTAATTTGTGTTTCTCTTCCTCGTGCTGCGATATGTGAGAACAACCCAGCTTTGGAAAAGTTAAAATTTGGAGTCAACATCCAGACTCTTCCAGCCATTCCAGTGATCCAAACAAAGGGAATATTTGAAAGTGTAGCTCTTAAGTTGAAAGAACTCTGCCCTTTCAGGGTCGAGAATATGGCTGGGCATTTTGAAATGTTGCTCCTTGAGTCATAATTATGGTTTCCTTGGAAATCATAGTTTTTATATCTCTGGAAAATGCAGTTTTAATAATTTCTCTTGCATTTGTGAGCCGCTGGGTCTTTATTATGGTTTGAATTACCATCTGAGTTGATGCTGCTCTCAGGGGGGGGGGGGGGAAAAGAGAATGAGCATCTAACGGGGAGATATTTTCTGGAAATAATTACCGAAGATCCTCCTTTGCTGCCAAATTGTTTCATCTAGGCATAGATAAAATCCAGCGATCGTAAATGAGCCTTATGGGCTATAACGGAATTTGATGAAGTTTTCCGTTTGCTTTTATTATGACAGCAAATAAAAACCAACATAAGTGCGGGGGGAAAAACTTGGCACTTCTTTTCCTATGGAATTGCTTCGAAGGCGACCCAGCGTATAAAAGCCGAAGTTTGGCGATCTGGGCCAGCGCTTCCCAACTTAGGGTAACCCAGGTGTTCTTGGACTGCAACTCCCAGAAACTGAGCAGTAGAGCCTAGTGGTGAAAACGCCTGGGAGTTGCAGTCCGAGAACCGCTATGTAGGTTGCGCTAGGCTGGGAACCACTAATCTAGGGGAACAAGCAACCCGAATACTGTTTTTAGTTTGTGCTCGTTTTTGCTGCAGTGGAAAAAGAAGCCACTGAATTCATGCCACATCCAGAAAGAATACTATAGGATAGAAAACTAAAGATAGAAAATAAAAAAGGCAACATGGTGGTACCTTAAGGCTACTTATTTTTTTAATGTGAGCTTTTGTGGACAAGTCCACTTCATCAGACATAAAGAGCACTCGATTGGATTTAATCATCATCATCCTCATAGAACTGCAGGGCTGGAAGGAACCCTATTGATCGCTGATTCCAGCCCCTGTCAAGAAAATGCAGTGAGGAATCCAACTCCCAGCCTACCTACACCACTGAGCTATCCAGATTTCTTAACTCAAGATACTGTGCATTGGTCTCCGGAATTTCAAGCTGAGAAAACTGCACCTTGCAGCTCAGAGGTGATTTGAGTCTATAATCTGCTGGCATGTTGCAAGTTTAGAATCTGTCATTTTTATAATGCAGCCGTATGACCCGATTCTTGCTCTGTAAATAAACCCAAGCTACCTTGAGGCAGTGTGAACAGCTGAAGGGTAGGTAGGAAATCGATCCAGGAAAAAAATGTACATGGACATATCCTGTGGGATAGCTGAGTATTTTGTGGGATAGTTGAGCATCCCACAGACTGCACCAGAGCACAGACAGAGTTCTGACTCCTGTCCTCTGAAGATGCCGGCCACAGAGACTGGCAAAACGTTAGGAAGAAAAATCTCAAGAACACGGCCAGACAGCCCGAAAAACCTACAACAACCATCAATGCATGCATACTTTCTAGGGTTCTTTCCATAACAAAGCTGGGCATAGCACAGTTGGCCACAGAACAGCAAGCTCTGAATTTCCATGAGCCTCTGACCCCGAGTTCCATATGTGTTTAAATGTTACTTCAAGGCACCGAAGGGATAGCTTTGAAACTCTTTAGCCTTAGTTTGTTGTTGTTTAGTCGTTCAGTTGTGTCCGACTCTTCGTGATCCCGTGGACCAGAGCACACCAAGCCCTCCCGTCTTCCACGGCCTCCCGGAGTTGGGTCAAAGTCATGTTGGTCGCTTCAATGACCCTGTCCAACCATCTCATCCTCTGTCGTCCCCCTCTCCTCTCCCCTTCACTCTTTCCCAACAACAGGGTCTTCTTCAGAGAGTCTTCTCATGAGATGGCCAAAGTATTGGAGCCTCAGCTTCAGGATCTGTCCTTCCAGGGAGCCTTACTACCTGGTTACTAAAGACACTAGCCAGAATTGTAGCCGTCAGTTATGCCAGCGTAATTTGCAATGCTTTAAAGAGCTGCTACTGGGATAGCCACTGCATGGTGCAACTTGACCCATTTTTCTTTTAGAGATGTGAAAAAAAAAGCAGTGACCCATTAGCCACCAGCAACCTGCCACAGCGGTTATGCCAACTTCTAATAACTCGGTAGGATTCTGGCGGCTGCTTTTTAGTAGAGCAGCCTTTCCCACTGGACTTTGGCCCTCAATATTCCTTACTTCAGCAAATACAGAAGCCCCAGAGTTTATTGCCCAGTGTTTTATGACTGATAATAAAACCTGCAACAGTGTGGGACATTGTGTGAAGGATTTGCATTCATCCATTTTAGGTCGGAATAAAAAGGGTGTGATCTGCCCTTCTGTCCCTTCCCTTTTCCTCCTGATAACATTGGAATGGCTTGGTGTCACTGAGGCACACAAGGTAAATGCTCATGGGAGTCTCTATATCTAGAAGCATTCGCATTTTTCTGAATTACAGTGAGCAGTTGCTTCTTGTGAATGGATTTTGTAAAACTTTGTGATACAGATGAGGGGGAAAGGAGCATCCTTCCCACAAATCTCCATTAAATAATTGAACAGTTTGATACCGGCGGAAATCCCGTTGCTTTACTGTAGGAGGTCACAGTAGAGCGGGCTCATGGAATCAGTGGGGGATATGGTACATCAATTCCTCTTTAAGTCCCATTGATTCCAATGGGCCTACTCTAGTTGCAACTTGCTCTGC